AATACCAGTTGACTTTAATATAAAATTCTAAAAAAAAATAAAATAAAATAAAATAAAACTCACCTTATGGTAAATTATTGTAGATAACATTTACTATTAATTCCTGAACTTTTCGTTGATGATATAAGGTTTAACATACAAACTAGGATTTCCATTGTGACTGTTAATATCAATTAAATCACCTTGCAAACAACTATGGCCGTTTGAGGAGTAGTCTTTGATTGTCTATAGACATGAGCGATCCATTTTCCTTCATAACCACTTTCTGCTACCTTATTAGAAACAGCGGAGCTATATCATTTTCACTAGTAATGTTTTAAGTTTTTTTTTCTGATTTTTCGAGTTCAAGCTTATTACTTAAAGAGATTGATCCATTCTAGATAGTATGTAGGCTGTAAGAGAAAATTAAACGAATTTTTAAAATTTTAAAAATTTGTTTAATTTTCTCTTACAGCCTTACACACTAATGGTAATTGGTTCAAACTTTTAGTGTCTAAATTTTTGACAAGTAATAAGTAGAAACTATTGCTAGAATATTTTCAATAGTCATCATCAGAATCAAAAGAAAATGCAAAGTTCTCAATTTTATTTGTAAATTCTTTGGAATCTATTAGTTGCTGAGGTTTTAACTTTATAATTATGATTATTCTATGTTGTGCTTTTTGTAGTCTCTTCGAATTTTCCTATTTAATTTCCTTGAATGAAAATATAATCTTCGTTATTAAACACTGGTTTGTATTTTTTGATTATAAAATTCCAGACAGGCACATTCATAAAATTTTTGCCAAGAATCATCTTTATATTGTTTTTAGTGATAGTATCACGTTAGATATCAAATTGTATGAACATCTTGTTGAACTTTAGTGACAAGCTCGCGATTGAGAGTTCCTTATTAAATTCATGAATCTGAAATATTCTTATTTAATTTTTAAGATTCGATATGAGTAGTACTAATTTACGTATAATAATGAATAGTTTTTAATTGAAATTGAAAATCAAAATGTGATAAAAATAAAATACTAAGATAAAAAAATTTTTTTGTAATACCTTATTATCTAACTAAGTGGTTGTAGTTCATCCAGTAATGAATTTTCAATTTTGATGAAAAGATTTCTTAAATATATGTAGTTTTAACGAAAAGAGCTGAGTTGTCAAAGCACCTCTTCGCTAAAGTGTTTGAATTTGATGTCTCTCATTTAGAGAAAAATCCACTTTCAAAAATAAGAAAGATTCAGACTTTATACATAATTTTGAAGTGAAAAGTATCCTGTATATATCATTATCAACATAAATTCTTTTGTCTCAGGATATTGTGTAATTCCATAACATTCAGTAACATTTGTAAAACTCGAATTATTGTGATAATGACATAACGATTTTAACTAAAATTATAATAAAAGCAAATAATTTAATAAATGTTAATTAAAACTTATTTTATGAGATTAATATTAAATAATTACTTCGCTCTGTTGATATTTTGAGAATTTAAAAACCTTTTATTTATTTAAGAACATATTCTAGTTGATCGATAAATCCATCTTATACTATTTTTACTAAAACTTGTAATTTGAGAATATGGAGTCTAATATAATCAATCGCCAATAAAACTAATTAATAGAAGTCTCAAATAAATTATCAATTCCAATTATAAAATCAGCAATTTAACGACTTGTGTTGAATTTGTAGAATAGAGAAATTCATTTATAATATCATTTTCACTAAAATAATTTGGTGATTAATACTAGTCTCTTGCATTTGTTACACTGATATTGATTGATAATTCCAAAAAGCATATTTGTCTTTGTTTAAAATGTTCGTCCAAATACTTTGTAGTTGAATTGACATGGAGTTCAAGAATTGATATTGGATTAGCCAGGCCAACTGGAAGATACTGTGATCACCAAGTCATTATATTCCCTTTTGTGATGTAATATTGACTCATAACTTCGAATCCTAGTGATGAAATCCAATATGTAAAAATGCTAGGAAGCTTGCTGTTAATATATGCTTCCAATACGTTAAAAGATCCACTAACAGGAGCCTGTCAAATGCAAAGCTGCCAACCTGATATTTAGAGGCAACAGCATCTCTTATAGCATTAAACAAATCTACACTTTGATTATAATACTTTGATATTTCGTTTGATGAACAGTACTCAGATAAGACATACCGCAAGATCACAGAGGGTAAATGTGGTAAAGTTGTCTTGAAGGTGTTATTTTGATTGTCTACAGTTATCAAAACCTCACTCCTAGTGAGATAACAGGCCTGAATTAGATCCTGTGAATTTCTGATAGTTACAGTTTCAAGATTTGATAGAAATTGTAACCGCAAAGATTTTGTTAACAAATAATTATGCCCTTTTGAGAAGCAATTTTTGATCATCTATAGACAAGAGTGAATCATTTTCATTTAGACCACTTTCTGCCATCTTATTGCCAGATTTTAGCAAAACAGCAGTACTATTTAATTTAACTAGCAATGTTTTTAAGTTTTTCGATTTGTTCAAATTCAAGATTAAGCTTATTACTCAATGAGATTGATCCATCCCAGATATTATTACTAAATACTTTATTTTGACGCATTCATAAGTAGAAACTTTCTCGATTGTCATTTAAATAACCATCATCAGAATCAAAAGAAATCCTAAGTTTCCAATTTTTTGTAGCTACTTTGAAACATAATTGCTGAAGTTGCTGCAGTCGTAACACTATGATTAAAGATTTATAATTATGATTATACTATGCTGTGCTTTTTACAACCCGCCGAATGAAATGTTCATTATTAGATATTCTTTGGCGATAGTATAATGTTAGATATCAAATTCAAAACACGTTAAAAATTAAAATAAAATTTTTTCTTGTTTTACCTTATTCAGATTCTTCCAATAATGAATTTCCACTCTTTATGATGTAAGGTCTTAAATATGTGATTCACCCATTAGTACTAAAAGAAACGAGCGAGTCAAGTTATCAAAGACGCCTCCGTTGAAGGTGATGAGGATTGATGGTCTCATTTAAAGATAGTTTCCAAGTCAAAAAAGTAAGAAAGAATTGTAATACAGTCCAAAAATTACACGAGATGACAATTTTGATGTGATACTAATGTCCGAAACCTCTATAATGGAAAATTGGATTTTGATTTAATAAAAAAAGGGAATCTTAACCTGCACTAGGAGGTCTACGCATATTATCCTAAAACCCCTCAAAATTTCACGTGATTTATATTTATCATATATAACGCGTTATGTTACAACACAACGTTATCTGTTTAATCCGCAGTTCTATTTTCTATATTCTTCTCTCACCTTTTTATTGCAATTTAGTTACTTTAAAATGGAAGAAAGTAATAAAGAAACTTATGAATGTGATTCAGTACTATCTGAATTTTCTGAAAATACTTTTAACAATAAAACTTCCAGTGTTGAACTCAATGAAAATGATACCTATTCTTAAAGCATATGTAAAACAAAATGGTTTTCAGGTCCGTTTAAAAAAAATTGAGAAAAATGCAATAGGCCAAATATGTAAAAGAACAATAATTTGCAATAGAAAAGGTTCTCCTACAAAAGCTTAAATAAAAGAAACCAGATCTTACTGCATTGTAATTGCTAATTTAAAGTTCATGCTTCTCTTAACACTAACAATAGGCTTTAGTATACAATCACTCTATGGTTTTAAAAAATTATTATCAGTTTATATCTGAAGAAAGGACAATTTCAGTTGAAGTTCAAGAAAATCCTTCTTCTTCATCATGTTGATTGTGAAGTTCTTACAATTCGTGTAATATTAAAAGAAGAATTTTCTAACATTATAATCTGAATTTACAATGATTTATATAATTTTATTTATCAAAATAAAGAAACATTAGAAAAATAAGAGTATGATGCCAATGATTTTGTAAAGAATTTAGAATACCTTAAATTTTAAGATGAAGAATTTTATTATGAAATTCTGATTAATTCTGAAACAAATGAATTTCAATAAGTAATTTGAATGCTTTCAGAATAAAAAATGAATTATTACCAGTTTTATGATGTAGTAGTCTTTGACAATACTTATAAAACTAATAAGTTTGAAATACCTTTTGGTATTTTTACTAGAGTTAATAACTATGATCAAAGTGTATACTTTGCTAAACAATTATACATGATAAAATTACATAAAGTTTTTATTAGACTTTTACTAATTTTCTAAAAATAGTTAATATTATTTTACTAAAAGTATTACTAATAGATAAAGATTAAGTAATTATTAAAATTATAAATTAAATTTTCAAGCTGCATAAAACAAAACATGCTTTATATTTATGGCATTTTATGAAAAATGTAATAAAAAATTAAATAGAACTTTAAGGTTTAAATGAATAGAATTTATAAAATGTTTTTATCAATGTCTTAATAAATATAATAAAGATAACTTTTTAAAAAAATGGAATCAATCGAAAATAAAATATCCTTCAACTAATAAATATTTAAAGAAAATGAATAAAAACTTAACAAGTTAGATATTATATTACAATTAGCAAATATCTATAACTAATATGATAATAATATAAAGGGATAAATCAATAAATAGCTTTATAAAGTTATATAAATACTATAACATCCCTTACAAATATTTTAAAAGTATTTGAAACAGCTTTAAATAAAGAAAAAAAATGCAGAATTTTAAAATTCTATGAAAATAATTCAATTATTTCATTATTAATAATAAGTCTTTATGAAAAACAAGCTTTAGAATTGTTAATAAAATATGTATTAATAAAAATCCAGAAGCAGTTATTATAATATATGTCATATAAAAGCAAGTAAATTGACAGATAAAGAAAAGAACTTTATTTTTGAAATTTTTTTTTAGTAATAAATTTATTTTTATATTCTTTTTTAATAATAATAATGAAATTGAAGTTTCATTTTATGTAGAATAATTTAATAGTTAACAAAAAAGAAGGATTATTAAATATAATTTAATAGATAATCATTTTTTATGTTTATATTATTATATGAACTTTTCTAGTATTATATATTGACATATTTTAAAGTTGTAGTTTAACTAAATTTAGAAAAACCTTCTTTATATTTATTTTTTATAAGATGGTAAAAGAATCTAATTGACAATATATTAGTTAGAATATATAAATTATTTTATAATAATATTAAAGAATTAGAAATAAGTATCAAGATGAAATTTCAAATGTAAAAAATAATTACAAAGATTATATATATCTTTTAAATTGAACTTATACAAAATTTAATAAATAGTAAAGGTCAAATCTAAAATAGCAAAAAAATTTTATGTTTTATTTAATAAATCATTAAAAGAAGAAATATCCTCTCATATTTCAAAAAGAATTTTTCAAGCTTAAAATAATATAAAAATCAAAATCCAGCAATAATAAAGTTAAAAAGTAAGGTTCTTTTTTAATAAATATAATTATTAATTTATTTTAATTTTTTTTTATAACTTTTATAAGGATATATTTTAAAGAAAAAAAATAAAATTAAATTTATAAGTGCAAAATCTTCTAAAAGATCTGTATTAATATTACATAAACAAAATATACTTCTAAATAATGAAAAAGTTGAAGGAATAAAAGAAAATAATTTTAGAAAAGAAAATAATCTTAAATTTCATAAATTATTAAATTTTATCAAGTAATTTTTCTTTAATGTTTTTTAATAATTATTATTTTACTTTAATATTAAAATTGAAAATTTAATAAAAAGATTTAGAAAAAGGAAAAATCACAAAAAATTTACCTTTTTTTTTGGGTTTATTTATTTATTTATTTCTTATTGTTAAAAATTAAAAAATTATAATTTAATATATAAAGTAATAGTTAATTTTTAATTATTTATAGATAATAAATATCCTTTTTATAGAGTTCTTACCTAATTCTCTTCTATCAAAAATTTACCTTTTATTAAGAAAAATTAGAAAATAAAATAATAAATAAAAAAAGATATTTTAAATAAATAAATTCTAAAAATATATATATTAAATTACTAGATTTATAATCACATGATTTATCACATATATAATAAATTTGCAATTTTTCTCTAATGTATATAAAAATAATAAAAAAAATACATACATAGTCTTTTATCTTTTTCAAAAAAAAGAAATGCATAGAAATAAACTGTCTGAAGCTTAAAGTGAAAGAATTATCAGTACATATCTGAGTGGTATCAAACAAATGATTATTTTAACTCAGCTTAGTATTCTCACTAGTACTGTCAATAATACTATAAAAAGATACAAAGAAACAGGTTTTATAATACTTGAGAAGTATTTTAGTTATCCTAAAATACTTAATCTACATAATAAAAAGATCTTACAATATATAATTTAAAATAATCCATTTGCTTCTTTAGTGATATAATAAGTAAATTAAACTTTAGTCTTGATATTATGCTTGATCAAGTTTTTCATGCTTTGTCATAGAATTCTTGATAATGATAGTCAGCTAGTTAAATAGAAAAATATTCATTGTCATTTTAGTTTCTCTCTTCCAAGTTCATCTATAATATTTTCATCTAAAATCTCACAGAAAATTTAGCTTTTTGTTGTCATATTGCATAATAATACTATTAAAAAATACCTTCATGATAAAAAACTTAGTAGTTATATCACTCGTAAGAAATTTCTTTTAACCTAAAAATAGTAAAAGGATAGGTTAAAAGAAATCAAAGAAATAAAATCAAGATGATAAATGGAAAATAATAATATAGTCTAATGAATTCAGATTTGCTTTTTTTAAATCAGGTGTAAGAATAAGAACTTAAAGAAGTTTTGAAAAAGCTTATAATAAAAATTATATCTTATCTACAGTTAAATTTGGTGATGATTTAGTAATATTTTAGGGTTATTTTTGTTAGTATGAGTTAGACCCTTAGTTATAGTAGAAAAAAGTATAAATTCTGATACATATATCAATATTCTTGCTAATCACTTCATACTATGAGTTAGTAATTATCCTAATACTATTTTTCAATAAGATAGAGCTCTATGTTATATATCAAATTATAGTATTTGATGAATAATATTTTAATCTTAAATTGAATAGCATAAAGTTCTGATCTTAATTTGATCAAGAATCTATGAAATTTATTTAGATCAGCAGATTAGAAAAAAAAAAGTTTTTACCTAAATGTAAATAGGAATTAATAAATATAGTTCAAGAGAAATAAAGAAAATTAACATAGAGATAGTATATCACTTAATTTTAAGCTTATTTAATCATATTAATGTAATAATTAAGGCTAAAGGCAAATATATTAAATATTAGTCTATTAAAATATAAATTTTATTTTATAATAAATATAAAATCTGCATATTATTTTAGCATAATTTTTATTATTAGTTATTTATTATATAAAAATTATATTTAATTAATAATTATATATATAAATAATTATAATAATAATTTTTTTAAAAATTCTAATGTAATAAAACTGATACTTATTTTGCAAAATCCATAATATAGAAACATTAATTGTCCCTGATGATATTTAAAAAGTTATCCTATAGAGATTAATTTTGAATTATTAAAAGATCAAATAACTTAAATAAAAGAGATCTTC